CAAATGTGCTGTCACCCATCTACACCAGAGGCACTAAGAATCGGCGGGCCTCAAGGGAGCAGTGGGAGGATTAGGCAGTGATTTTCCTTCACATGATACAGGGAAACTTTTGAGTGTTAATGAGATGCAGCGATCGTGTGTTTACCTGGAGCAACGGCGCTGGGGTCTGGACGTCTCTGCGCCATGTGGGAAGAATTAAAGCTTCCCGCTTTGAATCAGACCACGCTACGCCGACATGATTGCTAATCAAGGACAGAGATACAGAGCCAGCCAGACAGATGGACGGACAGACACAGAGAGAGAGTCAGAGACAGACAGAGAGACAGGTGAACTCCTCAGTCATGAGGACTGCATACTGTCAAACTGTCAGAGGGAAAAAGGCATTGTAAAAAAGGAACTGTCAAAACCGTATTTTTCTTTCTTTCTTTTCTTTTTTTGTCCGGTATTCACATTTTAAATCGGACGGGTTGTGAATGGGAGTCATGAATCCGATGACAGATTTATCAGAAATCTCTCGCCCTCATCGCAAAGTTAGGACAACGTCATCTTTCGCTGTCCAAAAAAAATATTGATAGCTGTCTTGATTTAGGGAGGAAAGGTTGGTAAAAGAAAAGAAAGAAAAATCCACATAAAAACGAAACAGCGGGCAGATGTGGGAGGATAACGAAGCAACAGGTCAAAGGACAGGTGAAGGAAAGTGTTATCTTAGTCTGTCTCGTCACTCTCCCGGTGACAGGAGTGTCCCGCGGGCTTCATCTAACCCACATCTTTTTTCATGAGTGCTCCCGTGTCTGTCTATCCTGTCCACAGACCCACTGAGGTAGGATCCCAGCTGACCTTTTGTCTCGACAATGTAGCGCTGCAATTATCCATCCAGCTCTTCCCCTGTAACGATTCTGCAGCCCGGCCAAGTCTTCCCTCTCTCTGTCTTTTTCTGCTTTCGGTGCACGTGTTGGATTTGGACGCCTTTGGGAAAAGAAAAATAAAACAGACCGAGATGAGCTATTGTTCAAAGAAATCCACGGATACCCCAAAATAGGAGACCTTTGTGGGTAGGGGGGCTGGCTCTGCGGTGTGTCTGTAACTGGTTACGGTGGGCTTTACAAAAACATTCTGCATGCACGGCTCTGGCATTAGAAGAGAAGATTGTCCAGTAGGGGCCTGCTCTTCTCCTTTTTTTCTGTTGTGTTTGTGTGTGTGTGTGTGTGCATATATGTGTGGGTGGAAATGGAAAAGCAGCCTTCTCAACACACCGGCTGTCTTATGAGTCTGGCTCCAAACTGGCGGCCTGATGGCTCAATCTAATAAGCAGTCATTGGATATCAGATTTGAATCTCTCTCTGCTGTGTGAAAGACGAGACGCAAGTCCCTTCTCTATTTATGTCACAATGACTATGCAATATGAGGGTGTTATATTGAAAGGGTTTGAGGAGTGTGTTGTCATCCAATACTGTACATCTGCTCTCCCACCAGTACATGGAGATCATTGTCCCTCCGGTCTTTGGCTGAGGAGAAACTGGCGCGGTGAGCGTCACTAGACAAATAAAGGTGTGTTTACGAAGAGCGGATTTGTCTCGGAGGCTCTCGTTGGCATTAGTTTGTCTCCTGTGCTCGTATTTGTTGGGGAAATTAGTAGCTTATGCTACCCTCTGCAGTTGCATGATTTGATGACAGCAACAAAGGCCTAGAAATCCCGGGCTTTTTTTTCTTCTCTTCTTTTTCATCTTGCTCCATCACACCTCTATTACTTTTTCGATCTAATTCGTCTGCCCATCTCTGCGCTTCCCCCCCCTGTCCACCACCCCTTTTGCGACTTCAAACAACTTCTTGTCTTTGTTGAGGCATAGATCCCCACTCCTGCGTCAGCAATGCCACCCTCTGAGCGCGCTTGTGTGAAATTGGATTGCTGATCCGTTGGTTTTGAGTGGCAGAGATGTAATATGGGATAGCGGCAACCGCATGCTCTGATGCCAGAGACAGCTGTTACAGGACACCGAGGGATCACAGACGACGCTTGACTCCCGGTCCTCATCTCTTCAAGACTGTAAATGCTCTCAGTAAATCTCATGACAACATAAAGGAAAACAGCGCTGAACAACAAGCAGAAACACACAAGGCTGTGGTCAGGCACGTCGCGCTGCCCGGCGTGTTCAAGGCTGTCAGATTTGCCCGATTCGCTTAAGTGTCAGGAGGTCACCGTTGATCCCTGGGCAATTTGAAGTGGCTGTCGTCTTAGATTTGCCATTATCATTTGTCATCGCTGCCGACGCTGCGTGTCACCGCTCCTCTTCCTCACCACAGGTTGAGAGGTCTGAGTCAAAGGGAAAAGTTATTCTTCACACAAATGTATCTTGCGATTATCACACACTCGGACTCCTTTGGCCTGAAAGGTAAAAGGTTTGCACTCTTTATCAGCTTGAATTCATGTCACTGGTGGGAGCATTTTTTTTTTACCCCAAGGCAAAAAATGGTATAAAAGCAAGTGCAGCTACTTCTCAAAACCACTCTTGCAGCATAGCCTGTCTTCGACATCCCTCCATTTTTCTCCAGTTGTGTTTTAAACACTTATTTTGCTGCAAAGTATGGCTCAATCCACAGCGCTCACTCTTAGCTCTTATCCTCCTCGAAACTCAGAAACAAGGTTGCTTATTTTTTTTGTGCTGGCTGCAATAACTTGATTCAAAGTATATCATATTCTGAAAACTGCTCCGAGTGTAGGATAAAGCCGCAGCCACGCAATATCCACCTGAGGGCTGAAAAGCTCCCCCAAAATAATTGAGCTGGCTAAAAATATCAGTTTAGTAAGTCAGAGGATTTTTGTTGTTGTTGTTTGTATATTCTGAAAGAGAACTATGTCTAAGTTGTTGTTACAAAGGTAAAGTTGGTAGATGTTGCTAGTACTGGGTGGGCCCTCTTTTGCCTTCAGAACTGCCTTAATTCTTCATGTAACAGATCCAGCAGGTACTGGACACCTTCAGAGATTTTAGTCCATGACATGATAGCGTAACACAGCCGTACATCCTTGATGACAATCTTCCATCTCACCATCCCAAAGAAGCTCTGTTGGATTGAGATCTGGTGGCTGCGAAAGCCATTTGAGTGCAGTGAACTTGGTTTGAACCTCAGCAGGTCGTCTTTCTACATGCCTAAATGCATCAGGTTCCTGCAGTGTGATTGGCTGATTAGATATTAATCATTTGTACAAGTTGTCCTTAACAAAATGGCCAACAGGTGTACTTAACAAAGTGGTCAGTGACTGTATATTAGTAGGCGGCCATTGTTAGGTATTTGCAACTTAAAAAAAAATATTTAAAAGAACATCCAGTTACTGCTAATTTCTTTATCACCTTCTGGACCCAGTTCCATGGGGGATGGCCGTAAGATTGCTGAGAATAAATACCACTGTTTGAAACTTCAACCCAAAAGTTTTCATTATTTTTTTCAATTAGATACTCTATTTTGCTAAAAGTATTCGTTTTCCCAGCCAAATCATTGAATTCGGGTGTTCCAGTTGCTTCCATGGCCACAGGTGTATAAAATCGAGCACCTAGGGATGGAGACTGTACACACATCTGTGAAAGAATGGGTCGCTCTCAGGAGCTCAGTGAATTCCAGCATGGTACCATGATAGGATGCCACCTGTGCAACAAGTCCAGTCGGGAAATTTCCCTGCTGCTAAATATTCAACAGCCAACTGTTAGTGGTTTTATAACTAAGTGGAAGCGATTATGAACAGCAGCAACTCAGCCATGATGTGGTGGGACACATAAAATAACCGAGCAGCTTCAGCAGTTGTTGAGGTGTATAGTGTCAGAGGTCAGCAACTTTCTGCAGAGTCGATCCCTACAGATCTCCAGACTTCATGTGGCCTTCAGATTAGGTGTCGCGGAAAAATACAATAAAATAAAACCAGTACTGGTACCAGAAAAAAGAAGATTTATTCACAACACATGGGAAAAGACCCAGGGAAACAGAGTTAATGATAAAAAAACCCTGAAAACCATAAATTTCACACCTGAACCTCAGCTCTCGCGGCCCGGTACCAAGCGACTCATGGAGCGGTACCGGTCCGTGGTCCAGGTGTTGGGGACCGCTGGCGTAGAGAGCTTCATGGAATCAGTTTCCATGTCCAAGCAGCTGCAATCAAGTCTTACATCACCACACCCAATGCAAAACGTCATGGCGATTATGGCGTGGGGTTTTTTTGGACTTGAGCTTGCCCCTTACTTTGCGGAAACAGTTTGGGGATGGCCCCTTCCTGTTCCGACATGACTAATCAGCAGTGCACAAAGCAAGGCCCATAAACACATGGATACGCAGGGATGGTGCGGAAGAACTTGACTGGCCTGCACAGAGTCCTGACCTCAACCTGACAAAACACCTTTTGGATGAATTGGAGTGGAGACTGCAAGCCAGGCCTTCGCATCCATCATCAGTGTTTGACCTCACAAATGTACTTCTGGAGGAATGGTCAAAAAGTCCCAGAAACACAGTCTTGTGGAAAGCTTTCCTAGAAGAGTTGAAGCCTTTATCACTGCAAAGGGTGGGCAAATATATGAGCAACATGGATTAATGATGGGATATTACTCAATTTCATATCCATGTGAAGGCAGATGAGCAAATAATTTTGGCAATATAGTGTAGTTATGACTTTAGTTGTACTAAAACGCTCCAACCACTTCAAAGCATTCATTATTTAGATGTGTCCTCATGAAATCAGCAGCAGCAGAGAATTTTTTAGCACTCCCCACTAATGACAGCATCATCTTTAGTCAAAGGAGCTTGCAAAGAAAAGCGTCTGGACTTCTTTAAGTTACTTGAAGACGTTTCACCTCTCATCCGAGAACCTTCTTCAGTTCTAAGGTCAAATGGTGGAGAGTCCCAGATATAAACCTAGTGGGAGTGACCCCCCACAGAGGGACAAAAGGACCCCTGATGATCCTCTAATCGCCTGAGCCAAGGTGTGAAACTGGGTGTGGGTCCCAATCAGCCAGAGTTTCGGGTGAGTTCATTGTGAAACCTCGCCCCACCTTATCATGCGAATTCCTGAGATCAGATGGCCCAGGATGTGAGTGGGCATCATCTTTACCTCTCATACACTCGTACAACTTTTTGTTTTGATTTAGCAACACTTCTCACTTGTGTTTTAACAGTTATTAGGGAATGGGTGTCTTTGGTGGAGTACGTCATGTTGTGAATCCCTAAAGAAGCATTAGCAGAATGCTAGCATTTAATGGGTTGTGCAAGAAAAAGTGGTGAGACGTCAGATAGCAGTGTTTCCTTTCGGTTGTGGCACATCATCTGTACTGTTTTCGTGAGAACTAGGGCGTTTTTTTGTGTCTAGAAGCATGTGTAAATAGTCATTTTAGCCTTTTTATGTAACAGAGAATTGTTCACCGAGTGTTATCTCATGAGCACCCCCCACTGTGCCCTTGGCTGAATCGCAGCCAATTTCTGTACAGTGGAATTAATAGGAGGTATAAAGACTCCCCTACATTGCTGACATTACGCATAGCTGTCTGAATTATCCACATTTCACTATAACACAAAATGAATACTGTGAAATTGCTTTAGTTTAACCTCATCAGCGGGACAAAAAAATGCTTGCTTCTTTGTCTGATGCCTCCTATCTTATTGCCTGCATCACTTCTACTACGGGCTCTTCTTTAGAGAACAGCTTTTCGATAACTCGTAAAAAGAAAAAGACTCGCTTCTGTCACTTGTTTGTACCGCAGACGTCTTTTGTTTTCTGTTTTTTTTTTCTTTTTTTTTGTGTTATATGGTTGTGACAGAGGCAGCTTTATAAAGTGAGTGGAATCACATGAAGTGTTTTTTCTCCCCGTGTGGGTGGGACCTAATTGTGCTCTGTCTCTGTGCTTATGCAAGTTTTAAACTAGCACTTTCATCTCCCACTTAAACAAGTTCAGTATTTAAAAAGGAATTTATAGAAAAATGAGTTGTAATTGATATTGTCCGCATTCGGTTGTTTACGGCACATTTTAGATAATAGTTTTTACAAAGCAGCAGTCAGATGTCTGGAGACGCTAAAGCCCCTCTCTTCAGTTCAAGGCTGCCATTCATTCATCTATGTAATTGAGCACATCATCGAATGAGTGGATCAGCACTCTAGCCCTTCATACCCGCACTTAGTACCCAAATTTCCTTTCAAGTGTTAAATGAACCCCCCGCTGATCCTCGCTGATTGTATGTCATTTGGATTTTGTCTGGTGGCAATAAAACCTCATCTGCCAGCATCGTTCTCCTTCCTCAATGGCCACTCCTTTCTCTTTGTCTGTCCTGTTCCACAATTGCGGAATAAAGAGAGGTGGCATTTAAAAAGGTCCACATGTGGAGGGGTTGACATTCAAAGTACTGCCACCTTAAGGTTAACTCCATGCGAAAGGTGATAGTGAATGCAGGCTTTTAAAGCATCAGTTATGTCATGGAATATCAGATATCAGTGAGGAGGCACACGGAGTAGTGTTTAAGATGCACAGGTAAACAATACAATCTCTCTTCAGCATGTCTGGCACTTCAAATCCATCTCACCTGTGGTATTAAGGCCTGATGTGCTCTTAGCGTCAGTTACATGCTGCAGAAGACAATGAGGGATTTTTGTCTTCGTGTTTTGCTGCCAAGGCTATATTTGTGTAAATGCATACGGCTTCAAAAGGAGTAGTTATGGACAATTGCCCTCAGATGCAGCCCGAGGCTGAAACTTGACTCCTGGTAGAAACATTTACTTTTTTCATTCCTATTTGAAAAGGCTAGACTAAAAGTGTTTGTACTTTCTATGGCTGTAAATAGACACTGACAGGCTTTGCTTTGAAAATTCCTTGCTTGACTTATTGCCGTTTTCAGCTGGGTGCACAAAGGAGACAATAAACGTAAGGCTTAAGAGAGGTCCTGAAAATACTTTGGAAAAGAAAAATCACTAGCCAATTGGCCGTGCTCTTCTCACTCACTGAGCTGATATCTGGAAAGGATCTTAGGCGTTTTGTTTAGCTTTAATGTTTCTATTGAAGAACACAAAGTGCATGGAACAGGAGAAGGAATTTTGCTATTGACTCCGAGCGGCTCTGGGGATGGGAGCATCTGTCGGGCAGCCCAGCACTTTGATTCAGACTGACACATCTCCACGTTCCCTAAAGTTTTCTGTAATGCAACCGCAAAGCTGACATTTTTGGTTTACGTCTCAGCAAATGCTGTGTTAAAGCTCGGTAGAGATCTGTTTCAGCTGATGCATCATAATGAGGTATTATGTTCTGATTCTGAACTCTTCATCACGCCGCATTGTCTAAAGTTTGAGTTTGTCTGATACTGTAAAGTTGTTATTGACCTTTTCTTTAGCTTTATATTTAGATATCATTAGCAAATGCTATTTTAGTTATGTTACAGATACAACACTATAAAAAAGTATTTGCCATTCCTGATTTTTTTTTCCCTGGTAATGAGTATTTCACAGCGCTGTAGAGGAAATTTGGCCCACTCTTTTTAGTAGAATTGTTTAAATTCAGACATTTTGGAGGGTTTTCTAGCAGGAATGGTGTAAAAATTTTAAATCTGGTTTAAGTCTTGACTTTGACTAGGCCAATGCAAAGCCTTTGACTTCCTGATGTTTTTCAAGATATGGTCTTGCTGCGCAACCCAAGTGCACTTGAGCTTTAGGGCAGAATTCATAGTTTCATCCCAACCATCCCAAGAAATTTGCAGTGCCACCACCATCTTTGACTGTTGGTATGATGTTCTTTGTATGAAATCCGCTGTTAATTTTATGTCAAATGTAAAAGGACTCAAAATTCCCCAAAAGTGGAACTTTTGTCTCATCAGTCCACAGAATATTTTCCCAAAAGTCTTGTGGATTAAGATGCTTTTGGCAAGTGTGAGAAACCCTTGGTGATCTTTTTGGTCAGCAGTGGTTTTCACCTTGGACTCTCTCAAGGTAAAAGTTGTTCTGGGTTCTTTTCTGACCTCCTGGATGAGCTGTCGATTTTCTCTTGGAGTAATTTTAGTAGGCCGGGCACTCCTGGGCTCACTCAGGTTCACCGCTGTTCCTAGTTTTTGTGGATAATGGCTCTCATCATTGTTCACCGGAGAACCAACGGCTTAGAAATGACTTTGAACCCCTTTTCAGAGCGATAGATATCAGTGATTTTGTTCCTCAGCTTGTTTCTTGAAATCTTGTTGCCTGTTCTACTTTGTCAGTTTTTGACAGTTGCTTGGTTCATTTTTGTCTAATATTTGATATTTGATGAAAATTATTTGCTGAAAAAGATGTGAAAAATATACAAAAACAAAGCTATAAATAATAATAATCATTGGTGCGACATATTAAACAAATACATTTGTAGTTGACAGAAACTTGGGTGATGTGATTAGTAGTAGTATTAGTAAAAGTAGCTGGTGATAGCTAAGTCAAACTTTGTTTTTCTGGTGCAGGAATGTAAAGTACAGGTTGATCCTCTCTAGCTGTGCTCTGATAGGTATTTTTAACTGGCAGATAAACATTTCCTGCCCCTAACAACCCTCGTTTTTATTTGTCCCTGTACTGTGTTAAAAGTGAATGACTGCATCCAAGTAAAATCTCTGCTGGATCCATTAGAAATGTGGCGCATACTTTAGCTCGCGCTTTGATTAGGATGTCCAGTTGATCTGGGCTAATCTCTTTAACGAATGAGTCTTGGGTCCCTGCATTCATCATGGTCAATAACAACAAATGGCTCTACTGTACTGCTGATAGTTTCTGCTTGGGGCGATAAAATAATTGCCCTTTTTATGTCAGATTGGAGGATGCTGATTTGCCAAATGTACAGGGCTATAAGCTTATCTTCAGTCAGCAATTGGCAATATTACCTCTCTGCCTGGGCAATGTTTCTTTGAGAATGCAGAAGCATTTTTTAGGGACACCACTGCAGCATAGCATTTCTATGGATCTTATTCAGTATGTTTAACATCTTACATGCACATTTAACACATTATTTACATTTAATCTGGAGACTTCTGCTGGCTAGCAGGCCCTGCTTCCTGTATTCTATTTTTACCATCCAGCGCATATAACAAACTTTTTTCTCTCTCCCCTTTTTTTTTAATATAACAAGGTCCTCATTATGACAGAAGCTTTTCCTCGGCTACAGACAACTTTTTATCTCTCTCTCCTTATTCTTGCATTTCTATCAGTCCATTATTCGACTGCGAGTCCCCAGCATTGTGGCCTACTTGCTGTGGGCCTTCCCTGTGCACCAGACTCAGGGGATCTAAAGCCGGCCATTTTAATAATACACACATAAATAATAGATATATTTTAAATGCAAATTCTAATAGGGACTTTGGGGGCGACTCAATCATGCAGCATTTGCGGTTTTGACCTTAACTCGGGCTAACAAATTACTGGGAGCTCAGTGTTTCTCATTAGGTGCTCCACGCATCATCACACCGCCAAGTTGCCTTTGGCTATAACCACAAACCCTGTATACACGTGTTCAATATTTTCCTTTCATTTTTTGTGTTTAGTAGTTTTTACCTGTGCGCTTTTTTTAAAAGTAAAAAGTAACATCAAATACCTCACAGTTGATGTTGCTGATAAGAGTATAATAAATACAGAGGTAAAGTTATATAAATGCCATTGTTTTTGTTCTCTTTTGAAAGAAAACATTCATAACTAATGCAGAAAATCGTAGTACATACATATAGTAAGTACAAGTAAGAAGTTGTCTGGTGAAATAAAGTATATTCAGTGTATAAGTAAATGTCCCATATTTGAAATTCTAATTCAAGCAGAGTATTATTGCAAAATGCCTAAATAGCTAAAATCTAAGTGCTTTGCATGAAGATGGCTTCTTCTGATTATGGCTGTCTGGGGTTATTGCCAAGCCGCTGAATCAATTGTGATGCCTCTTGAATAGCACTGCTCTTATTTCCTTTTCACCACATAAATTTAGAGAAGATATTAGTAAGAACACACATTTTTTGTGTGCTTAAGGAAAAGGTTCTCCTAAAATTCCATCCATATATTCATACTCTTTGCCTGCCTCTTATGTTAAATATTCGAGCTCATCTCAACATGAGCTCGGTGAGCTGATATTTTGGAAGGGTCACCAGTGGACCAGTGTCTGAGCTAACAAACAAACCATTTTGCATGTCTGGGCTCACACAGATGAAATAATAAAGAAAAAAAAAATCAAACCAAGGACCTTCTTGGCTGTGAGGCGGCTCTGGTAAACACTAAGCCACCATACTCCTATTCATAATGATAACAACAGTGGAACTGCCGTGTAATTGGAAAGAATAAATCTGGGCCGTGTATAATAGCGGGAATGGTTATTACAAATTGCACACATTCTAATGTGTTTCCACAAAAGAAAGAAACATTCCACCCATCCAAGAAATAGATGCAGGTATGCAGCAAAAATGTTAGAATTACTATAGCTATTGTGCAGAGAGGTTATGCTACGAATAAGGTCATGTTTTGTTGAATGGGTTTAAGATTACGCCAGGCAGAAAGCTCTTTACAGCTTCAGCATCAATTTTTTTCTTCCCCCAGTCCTATTTCACAACAATTGCTCCAATGTGCACCGTGACCAGCCCTTACATTTATTCCTGCTAATATCAACAGCTGGCCGTCACGTTTACCTACAACCTCAAGTCCCTCTGTATTTTCATAATCTCGCCGTGCACGAGATGCACAAACACGCGGATCATCGTCTGTGAAACAACAAAGGCCACACAGTTTGTATTCCTTTGTAATTCGGCTCTAATAACAGCCCTGCAAACTTTATTGCAACCCTAATCAGATTAGATACTTCTGGGAAATAACAGTTGATAATGTTTGAAGAGGAGGATAATATCCCTATTCAAATTAGTCTGCAAATTAGAATGGAATAAATTGTCTGTTCAACATAATATTTTACCGAGTCTGGAGACAAAGCAATCCAAAAAGTAATTGAAAGCAATTAGATTATGATTACTAAATTTGATTAATCTGGTGGATTACACTACTGGTTGTCAATTTCAGGTTGGTATTCTGTTACAAATTGCTAATATATAACATTATATTTATATATCCATTTCTCAAGTGAATTTTTATTAGGACTGTGCTTTATAGCACCGATGACAGAATAGTGGATTTTCTATGGAAATAGCATCGCTCGGTACAGTATTAAATTCCATACTCGGGACTAAAAGCCTCTCTTAATATTGCCATTCATTAATCTTAGCTCTTTAGCATAAATCCTGTTCCTAAACCTGCTTTCTACTGACATCAGCTATAAAGCTTTATTTAGGCAAACTTAAAGTAAAGTAAAATTCACCTTTAATCAATCACTGTAACCTGTAATTACTTTATGAAATTCAGTTCTGCCACAACTTTCTTTACAGGTGTGTAAGCGACACTGTGGGTCCTCACTCACCACCCAAACGTCAGTATGAGAATACACGGGACACTTGTTGTGTTGTCTGTGGCTTGCCACTGATCTGTCAGCGTTGCGTCGTCGTCTTAAGTGCCGGTGGGGTCGGCGGTTTTGTTCGTCGCCGTTCTCTTCCAGCCATGCCAGAAGGCACCGTTTGTCACGGCCTGTCATTTCACAGGGAGCGAGCGAGCGCGCGTACCGTGATTTGACATAAATGAAAAAGTAAGGTATGATTGTTGCATCGCTGCCCGCTCCCCGGCTTCCATCACGACATCCCTCGTTCATTTTGATCCATTCCTGGTGCTGTTACTGTGAGCTGGAGCCTAAATGTCAGCCCAGTTTGAGTCATATTTCCATCTTTGAAGGAAGCAGGAGGGGGGGAAAAAACGGCCGCGCAGACGTCCTTCTACGTTTTGGTTGTTTTTGTTGTTGTTGGCGATTCTACAGCTGTCATCTCAATTAGGAAGCTGATTTCGAGGGACTGTTTGCGCGCTCGCACCTCATCTACTGTCTTCCTGATGACGCGCAGTATGTCAGAACGGTGCATGGAGAGAAGGCTCTCAAGGTCAGATTGAAATTGGAACCATTTCATCATGAATCATTATGAGAAGTGCTGTGCATCTGTTGGAGCAATAAATATTGTCAAACATGAGCCAAGCACAGTATATACTATAAACGATACACTTGCAGCATGTTATTTTAGGGCCACAGTTTATTGCAGGCTTGTTTTTGCTGAGCTATTGCACATCTATGAAACCCATGTATTGATTTCTTTGTCTTTTGTTTTTTACTGTTAATGAAGAGTCTTTGCACGAATATTTCACTGCACTAAATGAATTTATGGATGTTGTTCAAATGAAAGCCCCCTCCAGCTCTTGGCAGGTGTTTTTTATTCAACAGCTTTTAGCCATTGGCCGGTAAATGACTTTGCTATGATAGTGCCAGCGACTTGAGTCAATTTGTTTTTCGTAATGGCTCGTCTTCTGTTGGTGCACAAAAGCATCTTGAAACTATAGCGTGTGATAATTAAGTTTGGGGCTGAGATTCAATTAGAAACTGACATTAATATCTCTGCTTGAAAGAGCAGTGCATGTTTGACACAATCCAGGACTATTCTTAGTTTATTTGGGCAGAATTTTCATATTTTAGGTAGGAAATCATCAGGAGAGTGATCAGAGAATATGGCCTAAATTTTTTAAAGGGTTCAAAGAGCTCGGCATACAAGTCTGAGTAATGTATACTTGCTTCCAGCCATAAAAAAAGCCTTTGCGATATTTCCCAAATGTCTTTCGAAGGACCGTCAAGTCTGCATCACATTGAATCACAAAGTCCAGAACAATTCAATTGAAAATCAGCCGAATTATTATCTCGGGCTTTGTGAACCCACAATGAAGATTATTGAAAATGAGGGTGATTGTCTTGTTACTGTGAATTTTGTAAGCCAACTTGGAAATGAAACATTTTATGCAGAGTGTTGTGGGTTCGTGTGTTTGTGCATGTGTGTGGTTTCTCTCTGGAGAATAAAAGCAGAGAGATGAACGTGTGGGTGTGTCTGTCTTCCTCGCAGAATGATTACCTTGACAAGGTTAAAAATGAATAAGTGCAGTTGAATAAACCGTCTGCGATTCATTTAATGACAGCTGCTGATTTGAGCCGTGATGCCTACACAATATGAGACAGACACGAATAAAAAAAGCAGAACATCCGAGATCAGCGGTGTTGCTAGCGCTTTCTAATTTTTTTTTTCCCTTACAAGATTGCAGGATTATTATACCTGCTTGTTTCATAAAACTTTATTGTACAAGTAAATCATCATTCTCAATAGGCACACACAACAAAAGAGAAACGCACAAAAGAAAACAGAAATACTGCAGACTGAATCTTGAATGTCTTGAACCATATCAGATTTCTCATGCGGCAGATTTTCCCTGATAAATGGCGCAGAACTCCCACAAATCTTTTTGCCAACCATCATCGAGGGCAGCTAGTGAAACTGTCGCACGAAATAAGACTCGACTCTAGATTTCTTAGGCTTCACTTGTACAGTAAGAGTATTTTAGAGCATAATAGTGCCCCTTTTAATTATATTAAGTCACAGAAATACCTTCTTACTTTGCAAATTAATAGTTTAACCTTGTGTGGTCTAAATCCAACCTGTAACTCTCTATGTCGATTGGGAACGTGTGAATTTTTTGCACAAACAAAATATTATCCCTCCTCCCCACCCCATAAAAAAACCCAAGTTTGTTTCAGGCCTCGCAGTTACAAAGTGCATTGTTTTGCATAAAGTTAAACCACCAGCTAATTTTATTTTTTGTTATTATTATCCTGTCGTTAGGGGATTAAATCTCTTTTTTAAGACAGACCTCTCCAAAATAAAAGTCCCACGGTTTCTGTAACATACAACAATTAGCCGCCTGCCTGTACCACCAGATCTGACCTGTCTGGGCACAAGAGGGTCAAAGTGTCTGACAGCAGGAAGTTCACACTGGATCTGTGGGGTTCTTTATGATTCAGGTTGGGAGTCTCTGTGGATTTGGCTTGTTCGGGCACATCTTGCAGATGCTCAGTTGTGCTGGGATCTGTAGAGTCTGGAGGCCGGGTCAACACCTTATCCTCTCTGGCTTGTTCATTGCTAAGCAGTCTTTGACAAGCGTGGCAGGGAGGCGTTTCCCTACTTTGTGATGTGAGGCTCATTATTGTTTGGGTGTGTGTTGTGTGTCAGAGTAACTCAAGGTTTGCCAGCAAAACACTGGCAAGCAAATTCCAAATCAGTGTTGTTCAGTTTACCTACAACGGGGTTTTATTGTTGACTGTTCAGTGGTTAATTTAAAAAAAAAAAAAAGGTGAAACCATATTGAACGTGTTGAGTCATTCATGCCGTGTAATCGTAATTCGGTATTTACTGGCTCCTCACGATGCACCTGAATGTCAGCTATTCCAATCATCACAGGTAACCAAGCTGGAAGGCCAGGGACCTCATTTAAGGCCTGTTTATCATATGCTTGATTTTCAGTGGAGTTGCAGACATCAGCAGAATATGAAAAAAAAAAAAACCTGCAAGAGAAAAATGACTAAAACCCAGCTGTCAAACAGGATAATTTAAAATCTGATTAAAGTATCTGATTGCTCACCTGCTATAACTCATCAGCTTCACTAGCTTGTTGCTAAAGGCACATGTGGCACATAAAAACTAGCAACAGATTCAGGGTAATAATGCTCATCGTTCAGTATGCGTGAACTGTTTAACGCGTTCACCATGTTTTCATGTTGCTGTCAGATCAACATTTAAGAAATTATCAATCGTACTATTAAATAAAAGTGATGCTTAATATTAAAAATCTTCCAAACAAAGTGGAAATTTTAATATTTCAGTTTGTGTCTTTATCTTCAGGTTCCTGCACATTTGGGTTTATTTTGGATTTTTTTTATGCTTCGGCATAAAAGTTTTGCTTATTGGCTTGAACTAGACAGAAAATTTGAATTTATAGTAAACTATTATGAACCATCAGAGCTGTAAGCTGCCCTATTAAAGCCTCTAATACAGAATATCTTACACAGAAACATTTGTGTGCATACAGAGGCAAATTTAAATGTTGTGACTCTTAATTCCAAATAAAATCTTTTTCCCTTTCCCCAGCTTTCTTTTTAAACCATTAGCTGATATTTTGAAACAGCTGGTTGCACTTAGTTATCTCTGTAGGCGTTTCTGAGAATACCAAAAATATGTTACACAATTACTGCCAAAGATTTAACTCTGTATCTGTAATTTAACCTTTTAGATTATACAAACGCCTCCCCTGTGTTGCTAAACTGAACAATGTTCCTTCTTTGTGTCTCCTTATTTTATAAGGTGCCCCTCAAAGATCTGGGTTGAGCTATCATTACCAAGTATAAAGGGTTTTTTCTCTCTTCCTGCTGTAGGCACCTACTTGAAATTTATTGTGGTCAAAGAAAAGGGAAACATAAATATTTATCAGGAGGAAGCACGAGAAATAGAAGAAATGTAATAGTTGTTCTAATTCAAATCTTTTAAATTTGAATCGAGCGTTGTAAGGATGTGACCAGAAATCTCTTGGTGTGTGACCTGCATATTTTCCTGGTAAATGAGACATGTTAAATGATGTGCCAGAGGGAAAATGGGTCTTTTCAAGCAGCACACACTGTTCCGATCATCACAGATAACCAAGCGGGAAGGCCAGGGACCTAATTTAAGGCTATTTACCATACGCCAGATTTTCAATGGAGCTGCAGACATGGGCAAAATATGAAGAAAACCTGCAAGAGGAAAAAGGACGAAAACCGAGCTCACAAATAGGATCATTTAAAACCGTCCAGAGTTCATAAAGACGCGAGTAATTAATAATTCATCAATCTCATCTTGAGATCTTTTACCGTGAATGATATTTGAGCTTCTTCTCAGCCTTACCCGTGCACTCTGAAATGAGTGAATACAGGAAAAGAGGACTCAATTTCATCAAAAACAAAGAGATGGAATGTGATTAGTTTCCGAGCACATCTCCTGGTTGTATCACCCTTGACTGATTCATCAGAGTTGAGCAACAAAAGGAACACAGTTTTTAATCAGAGCCATAATTCTTGATTAGCACTTAAGCAGGATTTGTCTCTAAAGGGGTGATTGCTGTCACTTCTGAACATTTTAGGCAACTCGCAGAAGTATAACAGTGAATACTGAACTGTTTCTCTTGGTCTTGGTCTCTTTAGCATCTAATTCACCAGTCAGTCATGCATCCACCACACACAGTATATCATACATGTTGAGACACAGTTGGTATAGACATTATGACTCTTCTTTAGGAGCAACGGCTGAAAATAGTGCGTTGTTACATGTGTGATCTCATATTGCCATGTTGGTAACTGGACTGTCACTGCAACTGACCAATCAAGTTGTTGCATTGTCAAGGACATTCGAATTAACATAACTCCAACTTAAAAGCAGGCTGCACAATGAATCTAATTTTCATTTCCATGGCAGAATTGGCTTCCTACAATTTAATGAACATGATTGAGTGATTTTGAACATGTGTGCTTGGCAGCAGAGAGCAAAGCAAAAGCAAATCAAGTACTTCTTAAATCGGTGCCTTACCATGTGCGTTTGAATTTTCTGGAGAAATTTGGTTGAGTAACAATACATTAAAAGGCAGATATACGACAAAAAGCAAATGTCTGGCACATCAGAAGGTGAAGACCTGAAATATAGAATTTGATCTTCATCCATTATTTAGAAATATTTTGGGTTTAGGGCACGTTATATTAATCAAGAAGAGTGTTGTAGAGTTGTTTATGCATTGCAAAGCATCACAACTAACTTATTCAACTGGCTAAAAAGCACAAACTGCAGTTTGATGAATGTATGAAGGCCGAGTAAAACGATGCAATGACTGGTAACGTGGGTCATCCAACATCAGCTCAGACATCCACGTGAGCTGTGTCCATCCAGCTCACAAAGACGCACTGAAATCACGAACGCCATCGCATTCTGTTTGGCCAAAGATATCTTTCCATTAAACACGATGAGTACCGAAGGCTTCATGAAAACAGTCAAAACGCCGGACAAAAGATATGTTATCCCCCGGTGCAGTTATTTCTCCGAACTGACAAAACCTGCACTGTATGCAAAATGTTGCAGGGAAGATGGAAAGTTATCTCACAGCTATTCAGTACTTTGCTACTTTGAGTTTCCTTCACATCCATCATGCAGGTGCAGCAAATGGATTGAAAGACTTTATACTTTGCTTCTAGGAAATGCACTTAAATGAAGTGCATAAACAACTCATTTGTCTGCAAAGATGTTTTAAGTAGCGAGATTGCAGCACATGTAAAAGTGAAAGCAGCGCCCTGTTGGTTACATTTTGTGTTAGTTTTTTTGTTACCATTTTTTAAACTTGGATAACATTTTTTTCTTCCAAGAGATGCACTCAACTTAGGTGAAAAGGAAGGCCAATTTGTTTATGCAAAGACGTGTACATTATCAGGAATGATAATTACACAACATTAATGCCAAAGATGTGTTATTTATTGCAAGTGCAATAAAAACATTTCCTCAACAAATTCAGTGAATAATAATGGCAAATAATCGTGATCTCAAAACAGATTAACATTATCAAAATTATTTTGTAAACATCCAGGCCTAATAGAACTTTTCTTGCATATTGCTCTTTATTTTGAAACTAAGTGTAAATTATACCAAAAAGCATTCTGAGAGTGCAAACATCTGCCAAGGCCTCTTTCTCTCTAGGCCGTATTTACCTATCAACCAAAACCAGCCACGGCAGGTGGATTCCCTCCCAGAACCTGGTTCTGCCAAAAGGTTTCTTCCTCTTGAAAGGAAGTTTTTCTTTTCCACGGTTGCCAAGTGCTTGCTCAAATGGAGTTGTGAATTGGCACTGTTATAAACTAAATTAACTTTTAGGGGAATACTATTGTATTTTGTATTTAGTTGTCTTGGGTCATTTTAAGAACAGAATAACTTAATTGTTATTGTAACTAGTATATTAAAATTACAAAATTAAAATTGCTAATCCCATCCTTGTGCACTCATTAAAAAAGCATTAGTCTAAAAATGGCAGTAAATAATAATAATAATTAAAAAAGATAAACCCATGCACACACACATGCACAATAGGCATAGACAGGTTGTATTGCACTCATGCCTAATTCCACAAACAGACTTATGCTACTGCTTTGATGAGTGTAGTAATTGCTGCTGGGTAACAGCTGTTTAAATTAATTTGCCCTGGTTATACACCACCTGCCTGACAGCAACAGCTCAAACAGTGGATGACCCGGGTCTGTAATGTCTTTTTATATATATTTGAGCTTAAACTTAAATGTAGTAATGACGTTTGTAGTAAAAACAAGTACTTGTGTGGCATACATTTCACTGTTTAGTAAAAGCAGTTTAAATTTTGTGTATTTTGTTTTCCAGAAATAAAAGACACTTATTCAGGACCACAGGAACACGTATTGAAATGTGTTACTTATTTAACAGTTGTAACCTGTCACCGCAATGTAAAAAAAAATCTAAATAAAAAAAATAAATCAGCTGAACTAAATAAGTATCCTATGCCAGCATGTTTTTGTCAGTGTGAAAACCTCTACCTCTCACTCTAATAGCATTATCATGATGTTGAGCTTCAGATCAGTGTATTGACCTTGTAGGAGAGGTCAGAGGTCAAATGTGGCACGATATTTAAAATCTATATATGGTACTTACTCTATGTGGAGTATAATGCTTTTTGTCAATTTTCAACCAATAAATCATTAAGTTGACCTTGAAGACTTCAATGGATGTAAGCCAGATTCTAATGATTTATTAACTGACCCCACTCTACATCCCCACTCCAGCCGTTCAGATACCAACATCATGAGCTACGTTGTTGCAAAATTAGACAGGAAAGACCATAATTAGCTTAATGTTTCCTGCCAAGGTTATTGTACATTCTTAACTATACCCACACTCAGTCCTCTGCCTGTACCAGGTAGCTTTTTTAAGGCCATATTTAATTTTATTTTTTACTGTACTTTAATGAGTTGTTTTGTCGCTAAACCCACTAACATCTGCAGAGGAATATTAATCTGTTCGGTTAAAGTTTTCAGTCAGAAGTGACCGTTTGTTTCTTTTTGTTCTTCCTCTGATCACCATCAGATCAGGCCAATTATGTTACAAACTATTACAAATCCCCACTGAAAGACCAATATGTGATAATGCTAGAGTGTGGTTAAATTGCTTATTTGTCACGGTTTGTGCATTATCATTGTGAGGATTACAATAATACCATGTCCTATTGTAGATTAGGTCACACATTAAGATAACTTGCATTTTGCAGGCAGCTGAAAACGATCTAATTAAAGGCATCCTAATGGTTTCATCACGTTCAGCATGCAACGCTACCAGCATGCTGAACCTGCTGTTGCAGTTACTGCTGCTCTGAAAATGTGTTTGTGATAGAGTGCATTGTGAACTGGGACTGGTGACTTTTGACTGCCAAACTGTTTCACCCAAGCTATTCCCTTCAGCAAGAGTTATTACATCTTTCACTGTGAAGACATTGTGTACCAGTGAGAAATGGCAGACTCTTACTTTTGTTTCTACATTCAAATATATGGCCTCATTTCATCGGCTTAACAACCTCATTTAAATGGGCCTAATGACTCCAACTAATGTCCGGGCATGGCCGAGAGATTGCAAATGTTCTCACGAGCAATGTCCTCTGCATGCACGTTGTATATCTCCATTATGAGGTCTTGTCTTTATAAAAAGCACAACCCATTTTTTGGTCTGCTCCAAATGTTTTATTTTGATATAATATGACGGCCTCTGTGTTGTAAGGTTTACGATGTGATTTCTGGGGCAGGATTGTGAACTTTTCTGAGGATTGTAAAGATGCAAATTTTAGTCAAAAAACACATTTTTGTGAAATTTATATCTCCATGTGTGTGTGGGTGTGAAAGTAAGTATTAAATCATGTTGAACAACCAATTATTCTCACATACAAATAAACGAACAGCCTAAAGATACATTAACAAATACATTATGAACAACAATAAATACAAAATAAAACATTCTGACACAACTATAAATTAAAATAAGTTGTTGATCTGCAAGAATTTGGTTAAAGGATGCTAATCAACAGCAACACGAGAATTTCAAACTCGATAATCGGCAACATTTTCAATACACCAGACAGGGAAAAAATGACAAAAAATTAGCAGAGAATCTTTCCTTTAAAAAGATGAGAACAATAGAAACAATATCATCACAACTTTTAATGAAATTTTTCAGTTGTCTCACAACTTCTAAGGTAATGAAAAAATAAAATATATTTTTTGGTAGTCGGAGGTAGTGCTGTGTACTCCCAGTGTAGAGTTATTAGGGTAGGTTTAGGGCTAAGAACTTGTGCTGGCTACTACATGAACTTTCTTTTATTATTTGCCGTTGCTGGTATTTGCTACCTTTTAATAGCATAAGCGATGGCTAATATGGCTGTCAGAAAATTGCTAATAGTTAAACAGCTCATTTTAAACATGTGCTCTAACAAGATTTACATGAGAATTTTGTCTTACTTACATTTTGTTGAAACAGAAGCTTTGCTGACCTCTCGAAATTCCTCAGTGGTGCTGTGTGAACTTGTTTGTAAGCTGGAGGAGGTGAAGACAGTACTGCTGGTTTCAGCACTGCTGCCAGTAATAATGTTTGTTGGGTAGTATTTTTATTTTTATTTTTTTAGTATGGATTAGTATGGTCGATTAGCATAGCTCAGGAGGTAGAGCAGGTCAGGTACTAATCGGGATGTTGGTGGTTCGATCCCTTCGATTAAGCTGCTCCAGTCTGCAGAGTGTCCTTGGCAAAGATCCTGAAGCTCGAGTTGCTCCTGATGCATTCATCAGTGTGAATGTGTTTGAATGTTAGACAGAAAGCACTTATGTATGTAGAAAAAAATTCTTGTGTGCATAAAATGCTCAAGTAGAGTAGAAAAGCAGTATATAACAACCAGTCCATTTATAGAATGCACCACTTTGTTGAATAGGATATCTCTAATAGGACAAAGAGCTCTCAAGAACAAGGACATCATGGACAAGATTTCTAACCTTCATAAGGCTACGATTGGCTACCATCGGCAAATAGCTTGGTGAGAAAAATGACAACTATTGACAGAAACCCCCTTAAAGCCTGGGCCTCATACAATACTGTGAAGCTTTGTATATCTAAGTAACAGCCCAGAAACATTAAGGATTTGATGAAGCTCTGTAAAGACAAGTGATCTGTTTCTAACCCTAACCAAATCTTCTGTTCCAAAAGAATTAAATACTTAAATACCTCCGATCCATAATGCACATAATTTTCTGATACAGAAACGTGTTTCGTTTTCTTGGCGAATAACCTTTTGATATTAAAATAAACCTACTGTGAATATCTTTTTCATACAGCCATTCATGACAGCAAGTGTTCCAAGACAAGCCTAATATTAATTTTATCAGTTTTTTAAAGTTTATCCTGCTTCATTTGGTGTATTCCTTCCCTGCAGTATAGTTTTTGACAGCAGAACTGAGTGCTGGAAAGGTCACTGAAATGCTAATGCAAAAATATAATTTTAAGTTGGCTCTTTAAAATTCACAGAAGATTCATTGCAGGGAAATGTTAAATCTACACACACACACACACACACACACACACACACACGCATAAAGCACTTTTGCTGTCTTTGTGTCACCCCCGTGTCAGCTCGGGATGACTCCACTGCGTCGCACTCGATATACAGTGCGATAGTTTTTCATTAAACATCATAGTGTGAAGCAGGAGCCCGCTTACCCTGTTATGGATCCATTTAAATAAAGAACTATGCTTAGTGTCAACACGGATCAATATGTGGACTGGCATCGTGATGTGGTCTTAACCACCAAAGCAGGGCCCATTATGTGAAGCGCTCTTGTCAAAGACACTTAGAAAAGAACGTACAGTCAAATATGAGGCAGGAAATCAATGCGCTCTGATAGGGACTGAAACCTGACAGCTCAATAAGCTGGAGGGAAGATGTTCCCTCTTATTCCTCCTCGTCCTTTCCTTCCAGCCATAACCGTGTCCCACTCCTGCAAGGGACTTAGCAGCTCAATTCTGCAGACTATTTCAGATTACAAGCTGCCGTCAACAACTGCACGGTGAGCAGGTGTGCAGGACCATGTGAGGGGAAACCGCACACAGCGCGGACGCTATCACTGACAACAGAGGTGCTATTAAAGTCCAGAGACATCATCGAGTCATTCGGGTACAGTAAAAAGGACAGGTGCACACTCCTGGCCAACAAGAGGGAGCTTCTAGATAAAGTCCATCGAAGCCCTTACTTAAAAAACTGCTTCAAATGCATTCTTACTGCAGAGGTTAACAGTTCCTAGAACATTGCTGCCTCCATGCATTGCCGCATAATCGCAGACTAACATAACTGTGGTATGCAATGGATGTTTGTCGTGGATCAGTAGGCAAAGCAACACTCTCCAAGTATGAAGGCCCACTTCAGTGGAGCATGCTAGTTATATATTTGGCTGCAGGACCTTTTTTTATAACGTGACTCATCCGTGTTGGTGATTAATCATCTAACTCATGAATATTAATGTTATCTGTCTGTGTTCACAAAGCAGAAACACTTTTAATCTCTTGCACTATCACACAACAAATGAGTAAACTGAAAGAACAAAGTAAAAATGATTTTATAAATGCCAACAGGAGTAAATATTGGCTTTAAAAGACCTCCCTACTTTTTTTTTGAAGTACAGCCTTCTCAGATGTGATAAGTGTATACCTGTTAGAGTGATCCAAAGCAACACTTTTGTTTTTTAGGCACGCCTGTTTCACTGGCACTCTGACTAAAGTGAATACTAAACCTTGAGTCTCTCGTTTTTAAGGTAAAAAAAAGGACAAATGCTAGCTAACGAGAGGAATTTCTCCCTGACACGTTCGCCTTTGGATTCCTTACAATGATGCTGTTGGTCGCATTTTAACTGCAATATGAGTTTACTGAAGAGAGGTGGACACTTTGAAAGCAGAAAACAAAGGAAGCGGAGAATATGTCTGCACTGCAACATTGACAGGCACACTGCATCGATTTTACTTCTTGAAATATACACTCGCAGACTGCACAGACCTTCTCTAGCATTTATTAATAAAAACAAAAATAGATTTCTCATCCTCGTAGTGGTCAGAATACATGATTGTGAGGAATCTTTTTTGTATACCATTCAATGTCTAGTTTTCTCTTTAAAGTATTTATCTGCATTCTAACGAGGAGATGAGATGATTTAGAACAAATAGTTTTTTTTAAAAAAGTGCTGTTAAGAAGCAAAACAAGCTTGTAGGCATCGGCCGATTTGCAAAAACATCCTAATTTCACTTGTCAATTGTAACTTTCAACACAGTAACACCGGAGATGGACCTTGAAATTACTTTTGCCATCTGTATAGAACGGCATTAGCATTTGAAAAACCAACAACATTAGGCCAAATCAAGAGAAGCTCATTCACAGGCAGTTGAAAGGCGGCTCCAAACAGAAAAGTCTTTTGCTTTAAAAAAAAAAAAAAAAGAAAAGAAAAAGAGAAAAAAATCCTCCCATAATTCAAGCGAAGGTCTGTTTATCCACCTGCCGCTGTGTAGTTCATGGCTATTTCTCAGTTTCTTTAGGAGACTTGGGTTTCTAATGATCCCAGCATGCCTCTCCAGTTTATATCTTACCCCAAGCAGCGCGCTGTTTGGACTCCCCCCTGTGATTGCAGAAGCACAGAGCTGCACTGACCACTTCATCTTGTGGGATAAAACCAGTCTTTTAGCCTCCTCTCAGTCCCTGGGGGAGCAGGGCAGGAGTTCCAAGACCCAAACCTCAAAGGCTGCAACGCCACCACAGGTTACACATATGGCTGCGAGAGCACTGCTTCTTGACTGATAAAAGTCCCAGGCTGAAGACCATATCCCTCTCACAAGTCACGCTGCTTACATAAAAATGAATCTGCGTTTAGAATACAAACACGTTTTTTTGCTTTGTTTTCATGTGATGCTCAAATTTGGACACGCTGTTCCATCTGGAAAAGCTCTTAAGTGAAAACACTGTTATCTACCTCAGTGAAGAGTTTTATTTCCACCGTACCTCGCTTTATACTGCCTCCCCCCCCCCCCCGAAACCTCGATGAAAGGTGATAGGCACTCTTCAGCCAACTGGCATATTCATTTCAGTGTCCAGAGTTCATCTGAGTGGAGCTGATAAACTTGGCCATTGTGAGCCCATAATGCCGCAGCGCTGCGGCGATAATTACGCACATTCACAGCAAATAGTGGCCACTGGCAGCGCCTGAATTTTCAGTTTAATTACCAACACTTGTAGTCTGATTAGAGATTTTGCCTTCTGGGTGCCGAGGTGATGTAACACTGTAAAATGCTTCAGCATGTGCATTTCTAGCAAACTAAATCCGGTGGATTTGGATGGGCGGTTAAACAAAATGCAGCTCTGCTTATTTTAATGCCGTCTGATTTGAAATCAGCTATTGGGGAGGACGAATTTGGGCAATTTGTCAGGCTGACAAGAGTGCCAGCCAAAACCCTCTTCTGTGCTTATCCTTTCTATTGACCAAATGCATTTTTGTTTTTTGTTTGCCAAATCTTTCATGTCAAGCAAAAGCCGAATAGAAGACATTTATATACACTGCATGCACGCTAATAGGGAATGTATATCAAATGCTTTATACCTGCAAGAGTCCCTCTCTTGACTCTAGATGCTATTAGTTTATTTTTTCCCATCTCATTAGCAGATTCCTATAAACACCAAGCCAAAGAATTCCCATAAAGATAAAGAAGATTTTCTGGGCAGCATTGAGTTGTTGTTAGCAGACACGTTAGCTAGAGAACTCTGCTCTCCTTCGATTAAACCCTCCTCCATGCTGTGTGAAGCGAGTGTCTCACAGGGGTAACATATTCTGCCTTCCCATCACATCCCTTTGACAGTTACCATTATAGAGAAATAAGTGTTAAGTGGAGTGTGAGGTTATGGTCAGGCTGACAGAATACATCAGAGGTCAAGACAGAAGTTTATAGCTTCTCCTCACAAATTGAAGTTCAATACTAATTTATCGAACGCTGCCGCTAACTCGTCCTTGATTTTTTATTTTTTATTTTTTGTAGAAAAGAAAAAGAAGTTTGATTCGAAAATTCTTTAGCCGCTGCTAATACAACTTGGTAACACAGAGGGAGGAACGGGTTTTCATGCATAACAGAATAAATGGCGTCGCTTGTTCCTGAAGCAGCCACATTCACCAAGCATCCAAAAGTCAAGGTAACGCTGATGCGCTGTGCCACCGATTGTAAAGCCATAGCAATGTGTTAAGTGCAAATGTATATGGTGGTAAAGAAGTCATTTCGTTTGGTCTTGACACACTATATAAACTCTCCCCAAGAATCTGCTATTTGGTCTGTCTGCCCAGAACATCCCAGTATTTGGCTTGCTGATTGCATGCATTGTAAAAAAATGCATTTAACAGCTCCCCATGCTGCTCTCTTGGCAAAGCAGATATTGTTTCCCTTCATATTGCAATATCAATATAAATTCAATTTATTCTTTAGCACTAAATGGCTGTTTGCCCAGTTAACGCTCATTTATTACAGCCACACATTGTGGCTTGGGCGTGTGTGCGCCCGTGGCCACACGTAGCAGTCGTTTCACCCACAGATAACAGCTACACAATCGTCTCTGATGCTGTCGCCGTGACAGGCCGTGGGTATTTTGTTCCCAAAACGCTCGCCACATATCAAGGCAGGGTCACGGCCTGCCGGAGTCCTGTGTCTCTAACTATCCCAGGCTGATCCGAAGGAGGGCAACATGGTTCCTGACACTCTCCTTTGGGAGGTGTTACCATGACATTAGGATGTCTCCGCGATTCACATGTCCAAGCACTGGTCAACCTCCCTAAAAGCCTGACCACGCCGCTCGGTCCCAAAGCTAAGACATGTTCACAGTACTGTAGCGGCCTAGCCACTTACTCGGTCTGAAAAGGAAAAGAAAACAAAGAAGGGAGGTAGGGTTTGGAGGGCAAACGCTGCAACCTCAAAGCACTCATGGGATATTAGGCGGGGTTTCCAGCCCTGCTTTTCCACTGAAGCTTGTCGGCCTCGCCCCTGCGATCACGCTTCTCTTTTCTGGAACGTGTGCATCAAGCCAGGAGCTGTCGGAGTGTCTTAGCTGGAATTTTAGTGGAAGCGAAGTCCGTTCCCCTTCACTTGTTTGGCCCGCGGCTTCAAATTATAGAGCCTGTATCAGTATCCCTTTCTGTGGTGCATCAGCAGCATATATATATCCACCAGGCGCTTGTGTTTTCATTGTGTTTGTCTGTTGTGCTGCTGGGGGTCAGTATTAAGTGTTGGTGCCTGGAAGCACGTGCGCTGTGTTTGTGTTTAGTTTTCAAATTTTCGGTGTATTTCTTTGCCAGTCAGCAACCGGTAACGGCTGATATTAGTCTGGTATAAAGTGATATGTCTGAAATCCAGATGGCGACTGTGGATGTGGCATTTCTGTAGACCTTTGTTAGGGCTTTGTTTTATGTCGAGAGATCACGGTGCCCTTGTTTCTCACTGTCGCTCTGTGTTGTGTGTGTCCTTGTCGCTCCTCGTTTTCACTTCCTATTTTATTTTGCTAGTTGTGTGGCTTAGGTGATCTTACTTCCTGTCATTGCCATTTCCCCACCCATGACGTCCTTATGCCCTGCCTTGTTCCAGATAACGTCGGAATTTCTGCGTTCCCAGTCAGAATTTTAATCTGGAACGGCCCCTTCCACTCGTAGTAATACGAGAGTGGCTCTACCTTAAGAACCAAAACAATCCTGTTTATGCTCACTTTCCTGACTTTTTGGACTCAGGAGTGACGTCACTGCAGGAAAAACCCGAAACTTCCTGACGAGAAATATTAAACTCGGTTTAACGGCGTCAGTATCGGGTGTAGTTGTCAGCTGTCAAACTGCTTGTTTTGAGATATGTAATTTCATTAATGTCATTTGCAAAACTAAAGAGAAACATTTAAAAATGCAGTTGATTTGTGTGATGCTGCAACACTCTGCAGTTACATTACCCTGTACTTTATAATGTGTTAGGTGTGATGTTGCATCTTGTGTCATAATTATTTTACTGTTATTGGTGGGTAAACCGCACGACTAGCGTGACTACGTGCGTGCATGCACGTAGTCACGTGTGCAAGTGTGGCATCTATGCAGGAAGGCTCCTCTGAAAGCTTCCTCGTTTCCTTAAGGTGTATTTAAGGGATTTGCGGATCCTCTGTGGTGACGGAGAGGGAACGGTTTCAGGGTCATGGGAGGAAAAGGGACATGAGGCAGCATATATTAGCATAATGAAAAGAACCCCGAGTACCGCTTCTCTCCTGTCAGTTTTTGCTTTTTTCGGTTTACCCTCCACTCGTCCGTCTCTTTGTGTTTCCGGTTAGGCCCTGAGCTTTGTTTTTTCTCTTCCTTGCACCCCCCACCCTTTTATTTTTCTTTGAATAAACTTTGTCTTTAACCTTGGACGTTATTTAGGCAACCTGCGTTTCCTCTGCCTTGTTTTTCCACATCTGTAACTTTTTAATCTTTCGTGCATTCGATTCCAAATGCAGACTTGAAACATGGCGTTCTGGAGTTTCCAAAAGGCTGTGATAGCTGGCATACCAAAGCTTGCAGACTGAAAGTAATGCAAAAATTGCATAATAATAATGTGAAAGTACTTGGGAGTTGTAGTTTTTGCAGTCACAAGCATCTACAGAAGGTTATTTTTTCGGTTTAAATTGGTTTAAACCTGTAGGTAAAATGTAACACATTTTGTGCTTCGGTAAGGCTAAAACAGCTTCGCATTCACAATAAGGTTTTTAAAACAAAGATTTGCTTCTCAATTTTAGAGAAAAGCGCTTCCACATTGCGCTCGACACGTCTAATCGCAGCATTTGAAGACATTTCGCTGGACCGGTCGGAGTAAAAGCAGCATTACCTCGATTCCTCTCCATGTTTTCAGCGCGCAGCCATCACAGTGAATACGCGCCTTCGCCATCTATGCCACCAGGCTGTTCGGCACGTTGGTGCGCCGCTCGCTTTTTAAGATGGCTGCCAAAAATGGCGCAGTAGTCTCTTTGTTTACTTGTGAGATGCTCTGCTATGTTCCAGTCTAATAGATTGGACACAGCCGCCCCGTGGTTTCGCTCCAGCATTCAGCACTATTATGACGGAAGTCCAGAACAAATCCACTGCACATTTAGGTGTCAGCGCGTTGTCATGGAAAGGAGATACCTCTCTACAGTAAGTGAATAATGTCCGAAAGAAAATGAGTTGTGCGCTTTTGTCCACTTCTTCACGCTCCTGGTCAGTTTGGGACCACACTTGGTTTGGAGCTTTGAGTTGGAGGAGGAGGAAAAAGAAGATTTTTTTTCTTTCCCCCCCCATCCTCTATTTTAGAAAAGCTGAAAATGATCTGTCAAAGGTAATGATAAAAGGCGACGTGATGGATGGGTTTGTCTTACTCTGCCTCTCAATCTTTCAGTCCTTCCTTCGCTGACATTCTTTCTGTTTCTTGTCTCCGGGGAGAGCCATTATTTCCATCACCCACCACATTTCAACCAAATTCACTGTATCACTCCATGCCCAGCCAAAGGGAAGAAAAAGCCATTCTGTTAGAGTAAAATTTCATTTCCTTACCAGCATACAGTGTTGTTTTTTCTTGGGAGGGAGGGTATCTGTTCATAGTGTGGAATTACAGTGTGATATTTTTATGGGTTCATCCAATATAGCAAGGCAGTGACTTCTGTTATTGAAATTTTGATTACGATTACAGTTGTGTGCGTGCATCTCCCCAAAGACAGCAGTCTGATAGCAGGCGGGGAGGGGAAGAGTGCATTTATTTATTTATTTATTTATTGCATATAAATGAAACCATAATGGCGGCTCCTGTTCAACCAGCAAAGAGCCCGCGAACATTTCTTGGCGCACCATAACCCGTCCTGTAAAACAGCTACACACTGGCCACCTGATAACCACAGCGAGTGACGGCGGCGACCCTCCTCCTCACTTGTAGCCCGTGTTTCTCCCCCTTCGCTACAACACAGGATTTTAAAAGGTAGAACACAATCAACCTGTGTACATAGCGCCGGCCTGCACGCCGCGCATCGCTATCTCATTGTGTCTGGCAATTGTGCTAATGACATTTCACAAGATTAGCTTTTCAATGCGGTATTGTTATTGACCAGCTCGGTGTGTTTGTAGGAGCCCATTGCTCCATTTAAGGCCCTCCTGAAGCACTCCTCCTCTCCTCCTCTTTTCCCTTCTTTTGCAAAAGCGGCTTTGCTCTCGCTACACCTTTTTTTTTTGTTTTTTTTGTGTGTGTTTTTTCCACCCAGACCTGTTATTAAATCTCGTAGCAGTTAGTTGATTTGATCAGTGTGTGCTGTAATGTTGTTTACCCCCAATGGGATCTGGGCGTTACAGACATACTCATCCCTCTCTCTCTGTCGCTGTCTTTTGCTCTTTCCTGCAGTTTCTCCCCAAGTCGAGCAATGAAGTAATTTCTCTCAGCTGGATCGAAGCGCTGTATCTTTACGCTAATGAATGCAGGGCCCATATTAGAAGCACAATAGGTACAAAGTGCCGGAGCTTATGCAGCATGTCCGTGCTGGTGGTTTCGCCTGGTGTCCGACTCGCTGTTTTTATAGGATTGAACCGGTGCAATAACTCTCACAGGCGAGGGCTGGCTCGAACAAAATGCTAAGGCAAACACAAAGCCATGAGCAAACGCTTTGCTGTTTATTTGGATGTGGATGTTGTGGATAACTCAAAGCAATCAAAGCCCAGAGCCCCGGATCACCACAAGGCCCCTCCTATATGTACTCATAGCAGATGGTAGCCAGTGGCAAGAGGTTCTGGTAAGCACAATAATGCTGCCTGCTATTGCAGGATGGTAGAGAGCACATAGTGACAGATGTCAGTGTTCGCCGTGTCCGAGAAAACGTCCAATACGCCGAGCAGAATATGACCGCTGTGTCCAGGCGAGGAGGACGGGCGTATGTTCGGGCCCGATTCGTCTCGATTTTTATCTTCCTTCCTCTCCTCGACGCACCGATTCTGACATGTCTGCAACACTCAGAGGTTCAGGAAGGGTGGGGGATGTTTCTCCTATTGCTGCGTGTGCCTGAGGAGCAGATGGATAGCTGCTTCAAATTCAGATTGCATGTTTTGCAGTACAGCAGTGAGCAAAATATGCAGAGTTCCTGTTAAATATAGAGCAAGTTCAGTGATGCACATTTTAATAGCAACGTTCCAAGCTGTTAATGCATTATGCGCCTCTGCAGAAGCTGACCTGTTATGTGTTAGACCTGAAATAATAGTTGATAAACTGATTATTCGGTCCAGAAAACTGAATAACTGCTTGTGAGTTTATGAGGTTTTGAATTTAAAATCTAAAGATTTCCAGTTTTTGTTTTCTTTAGAGTTGCCTCAGTGTCTCGGGTATGAGAAATATTGCTTTGATCAGCCCGTGTAGTTAAAAGTACTCTCGACTCAGGTCTTTTATTGACCCAAAAAACGAGTTAGTTTACATAAATGTGCTGTAACATTAAGAGCAACTGGATCTCCCACGAGAGCACCAGAATCCCGGACCAAAATAACCTAATGTGTTGGCCAAGGCCCCCCCCGCCATGGAGTTGCAACCATTAGCCCTCACTCGCATTGCAAAATGTGCGGAACATCTCTCTAATTTTATTTATTTTTATTTAACCTTTATTTAACCAGGATAATGTGATTCTCACATGCTACTGTAAGCCTGCACAGACATGTCTGGACTGCACTCTACTACACTGCCCTCTGCCATCACTCTTGGGGGAGGTCGCCGTTTTATTTTCATTAATAAATCCATTAAGGGCCGGCACTTTTAAATACAGCACTCTCAGGAATTAGCACGTATGTGCAGCTGGACCGGCTATCAAAACATAGAACGAAGGACCTCGAGTTACAACTCAAAATGTGACTTTATACTTCACGTCTTTATATAGCAACATGATGTTTGAGGCTATAATAACATACGAGCCCACCCACCAAAATAGTAACAATAACAATAAGAAAAAAAGATTCACGACTTGTTAAGATCATCGCTCGTGTTTGCGTTTACTTATGTGTGCAGATTTGTGTGCATAGGTGTCAGCAGGTGTTTGTTTCTAAAGCGCCACATTGCACGTCCGCATGCACGGATGTTGCATGCGGACGTACAGAAAGCGCTCCCCGGCCAGCTCGACAACAAACACAGAATGGTTTGGCACGGCTCTGGAATTATTTATCTGGCTTCCCTCCTCTTCTCCAGCATGGTTTTTGTCAAGTCAGAGGAAACCATCTGCTGCCCGGTGATAATGGGTGGCCAGGGAGGAGGGGACTGGAAATAGGGAGAGCAAATAAAATTGAGAGAAAATGGCAGGCGCTGTCCCAGAACCTACAGTACCTTCCTGCCTGCCTGCAGCAAGTCTGCCATCTTAATAAACATCCCTCCTGATATCTCCTGGCTTCTGTGTGTGTGCGTGCTTGTATTTCCACCTGCTGTGTGTACATACACACCTGTGTTTCCACTGTGTATATGTCTGCGTGTCTGTGTATTTCCTATCTAACCTTGATCATTTTGAAGTCAGGATTGTTCCTGAGTCTAGCTGATATGCTGTCAATGTGATGGCGCTGACTAAGAACCTTTTCCCCCCCTCTCTCTTTTACCTGGTGCACTAAAACCGTGACAGACAGATTGCTTTTCACTAGAAGAGATCTTTCCTGTTTCCTGTTTTGTTTTTTTTGTTTTTCTGCCTTCTATTTGGATAAATGGACGGGGCGTATTAATGAGAGAACGCCACGAGTCAGGTGCAGGGCTAAAAGAATGTAAGAGAGTCAATACTGCGAGTTAATGAGGAGTTGCCTGTATAGAGGGGAAAGTAAAGCATGGCTGGAGAGGAGTACAGTGAAACACACAGAGCAGAGGAGGAAAAAATGCTCATTAAAATAAATAGTGGGCCACAGAAAGCACAGGGAAAGTCCACACCTTGAAAATGGTCGGCGTTCTCTATTTCCCAAAGTCTCCAGGGCTCTCAGGAGGAATCGAGCGCTTAGGGCATCCTCTGAGTAAACCATTTCAGTTTTCTCTTGTCTGAAGTCGACAGGTTGAGATGGACAGAAAGACTTGACAGCCTGTCTCCCCCCTAAACCCGCCTCCATTCTCTCACTCCATCACACTGTTTTCTATTTTGCCTTGAGATGTTTCCTCTGTTTCCCCCCCCCTTTCCTCCTCCCCTACAAACACATACGAACTGTCAGATAACTTTCAGTATAGATTTATCAAGTAAGTGACGCTCATTGAACCTGTCTGCTATTGTGCAGCTGTTTATTAGACAGCAGATGGTGGCGCTGCGTCAATACAGAGTAATATCTTGGTGTTAAAGGTCCTGCAAAGCTGAGATAAATCCATATTCAAGCAAAAGAGGGACTTTTTCCAGGAATGGATCGATCCAGTATGTAAAGCTGCACATTAATTCACCGCGGGAAGAATTGTTTGGATTGCTTTTTTTTTTCTTTTTGGGTCTTTGTGCGGTCAGTCCGCGCTCTGCCGGGCTTTGTCGACACAGCTGTTGGAATGCATGATGGCGTGCTTGATGAAGTGGACGCCGGGTCAGGGGGGGATAATGGAATTGAGGGATGGAGAAAGAGGGATGGAGGGATCAGCCGGGCCACAGGAGGGGCCTGGTGACCAGGTCTTTTCTATTAACTCTGGTGTGAGCAGGGCGGGGAGGGAGGCCCCCTCTCTCCCCGCCTGGTTGTTAGAGTGTGCGTCCAAAACTGGAGATAGGGGAGGCGAATATTGCTCAGAGGTCCAGTGGTGATTGACCCTGTGTTTTCATCAGCCTGCGCTTGCCTGATAACATTTCTTACTGCCCGACAAGAGCAAAATATTACAGACGTGGGTGCAAAGAGAGGCTCGGGGAACTCTTAGTTTGGTTTGGTGAAGTTTGATTCGCCCACCCAGCGCACACATTGTAAGCTAGCTTTTCATTTTCTTTTTTGAAATTACATTTTTCTTGTCTCCCGTCCCCGAGAAAAAGATTTCTCTCTTATTGAATCTATTTGTCATGTTTTGGTTCACAATTTTATTATCTCGCTTGAATGAACAAAAATGTTAATAATTCAACACGGAAGACGATAAAGAAAATCTCCAGGGGAGAATTTGAATGTAGCCCACGCCTGAAAGTTTAATTGTTATTAGTATACAACAAGAGAAACATTGCTAAGATTCTTGAGGCCCCGAACAGGATTTTTCCCCCTTTGTTCCTGTTATATAGTCTGTAATCATCACTCACTCACAGCTAATTATACACCTCTCTACCATCATCATGGCTCACTTCAAGACCTTAAAGAACAGTTGAGATTGCTGTCATTTGTCACTTTTTCTCTTCACATCATAAAGGAACAGGTGCTTTTTTTATATAAACATGCTTAGTGAAGGATGTGACACATTTTTCCTTTTTTTTTCCTGTTTTTCTTCTCTCCCCCCTCCCATATAATCCCCTAATCGGCACTGTTGTGTGTGTCACCGTGCTGCAGGTCTCCGGACTGTCTCCCGGAGACAGCCAGGCCCCGGGACTGCTGCTGGCTCCAGGCGTGAGGTGGGGACAGACTCCTATAAACCAGCTCACACCGTGGGATACAGATGAGCCCCCTGCTAAGCAACATCGAGATGCCGAGCCCACCGGTAACGAATCACACGCACAGCATTCACAAACACACGCACATGTAGCAGGGATGAAGCCAATTCTGAGAAAGGTACATGTGTGTTTGTATTTTTTTATGAATATTTATTTCATACATATATATTTAAAGAAAATAGGAAAGGTAAGAAAGATCAGGTGTTTTGTACTGATGTGACCAAATGATGAGAAGCTGCAGACTGAAAAAGGAGCAGCCTGATTCGAATCCAGGGTATTTTTTTTTTCAATTAGGCTCGTCTTTTCACTCGCGCCGGCTTGTCGAGGTAGTCTAATACAACATTATTTGCGCCTTTGTGTTCCCGATGGACCTGCAATATGCGAGGCTGTATGCGTGACCCTGGAGGAGATTTAGCTAGTCCACTTACACACCGTGCTCCCGACTCTTCCTGTGTGTCACATGGTAGCAGATCTCGCTGTAGGAGTAGAGTGCTATGAAAGGGACAGTTGACCTCATAATCAAATGTATATATTGTTCCCTCTGGCTGTAGAGCTGTTTATCCATCCAGTTTCTTTTGGTGTTGCTTGGTTTTGAAGATCAATGCCCTGGAGATGTTTGCCTTCTTTGGAAGAGAACGGAACTAAATGGCAGGCGGTGCTGGAAGCAAGAAAATAAAAAAAATATGCAGCAATGCCTCTTTCAAGAAGTGATGAGGGTTATTCCACGGAGGAAATATATTCTCTTCTACTAATCTACAGCCGCCAACCGTTGAACTGTGGAGATGACAGTATGTAGCTACACCTGATGAGAAGCGTGTGCCAATAAGAGGGGACAAGCTGAGCTGTAATGCTAGCTAGCTTTGGTTCGTGGGTGTAGTTTGAAAGATGATTTTACTTAAAGCCATTCGGCCTGTGTGATGTTAAAGGGTTAAGAAAACATCAGCCAGTAGAAAAATGCTGAAAAAGCACATAAAACACAGCAGAAGAGCTTTTGAGGAGACAAAATTGTGACGGAGCAGAACATGTGGAGCATCGCTCTGAGCCGCCCTCAAAAGAAGTGGGAGAAAAATATGCAGGTAGTGTTTGTTTTAATCCCGTGATTCATGTAATATTATAGATACAAGTTTACTGTTAGCATGTCATTTCACCAGCTGTTCTGTGACATCATCGTCTCTCCAAAAGCATTTCTGCTGTGTTTCGTGTGCTTTTAAAGCATTTTTCTGCTTGCTGGTGTTTTCCTGTCTTAAGTTGTGTTGGGTCTGACCCGTCAGAGCCGCTGTAGTCTATGCTTAAATCATATAACAGTTAATAATTGTTACTATGCTAACAATTAGATGAGGTACAAAAACAGGACTGGTGCACCTTTGCCTGCACATTGAGGCATAAATCCAGGCCCTGTGTTCTCTGTGCACCCCCAAAATGAGTTTACAGAGCTGTACATTACATGTGAGCGCACAGCAGGATGCATACTCTCTCTCTCACACACACACACACACACACACACACACACACACACACACACACACACACACACA